TATAATATAATATAATATAATATAATATAATATAATATAATATAATATAATATAATATAATATAATATAATATAATATAATATAATATAATATAACACAATACAATATAATATAATATAACACAATACAATATAATATAATATAATACAACACGATACAATACAATACAATACAATACAATACAACACAATACAATACAATACAATACAATACAATACAATACAATATAATATAATATAATATAATACAATACAATATAATATAATATAATACAACACAATACAATACAATATAATATAATATAATACAACACAATACAATACAATACAATATAATACAATATAATACAACACAACACAATACAATACAATACAATATAATACAATACAATATAATATAATATAATATAATATAATACAACACAATAGAATACAATACAACACAACACAATACAACACAACACAACACAACTCAACACAACACAACACAATTCAATACAAACACTAATAAAACAAGACCACTCCAGTAACAACCCAGCTAACCGCAGCACAGCCACCGAGAGCAGCGGGCCGGGCCCGCGGCACTGGAGGCAACGTCCCTTTCCCGTCTGGGCTGTGCCCGGCAGGCTGGCAGCGGGGCATGGCGGTGCCCGCCGACATCGCGCTGGCCTACCTGCTGCAGGGCAGCTTCTACGGGCACGCGCTCTACGCCACCGCCTACATGGACACCTGGCGCAAGGACTCGCTGGTCATGCTGCTGCACCACGTCGTGGCGCTCACCCTCATCGCCGCCTCCTACGCCTTCAGGTGCCCGAGCCGCGGGGGTCTGCGGGAGGAGCCGGGAATCCTGTGGGGATGCCCAGGAACCCTGTGGGGATCACCCAGGAATCTGTGGGAGGACCTGGGAATCCTGTGGGGATCACCCAGGAATCTGTGGGAGGACCCGGGAATCCTGTGGGGATCACCCAGGAATCTGCGGGAGGACCCGGGAATCCTGTGGGATCCGTGGGGAATCCTGCGGGGATGACCCAGGAATCTGCGGGAGGACCTGGGAATCCTGCGGGGATCCGTGGGGATCCTGCGGGGATCCCCAGGAATCCTGCAGGGATGACCCAGGAATCCTGTGGGGATCCTGTGGGGATGCCCAGGAATCCTGCGGGGATCACCCAGGAATCTGCGGGAGGACCCGGGAATCCTGCGGGATCCATGGGGAATCCTGCGGGGATCCCTGAGAATCCTGCCGGGATGACCCAGGAATCCTGCAGGGATCTGTGGGGATCCAGCGGGGATCCTGTGGGATCGTGTGGGGATACCCAGGAATCCTGTGGGGATGACCCGGGAATCCTGCGGGGATCCCTGGGAATCCTGCAGGATTCCATGGGGATCCAGCGGGGATCCTGTGGGATCGTGTGGGGATGCCCAGGAATCCTGTGGGGATGACCCAGGAATCCTGCGGGGATCCTGTGGGATCGTGTGGGGAAGCCCCAGGAATCCTGCGGGATCCTCTGGGGATGCCCTGGGAATCCTGCAGGGATCCTGTGCGAATCCTGCGGAATCATGTGGGGATCCTGTGGGAATCCTGCAGGAATTCCGCAGGATCCTGTGAGAATCCTGTGGGGATCCTGCGGGAATCTTGCGGGGATCCTGTGGGAATCCTGCGGGGATCCTGTGGGAATCCCATGGGAATTCTGTGGACTCCCCCGGGAATCCCCTGGGAATCTCCCGGGAATCCCCTGGGAATCTCCCGGGAATCCCCTGGGAATCCCCCGGGAATCCCCTGGGAATCCCCCGGGAATCTGGAGCGGGCTGCGGGGCCGGGATGGGGCTGGGAATGCCAGTCCCGGGGCCGGCATCGGCCTCCTCCCGCTCTGCTCCCTGCTTTTCCCTGCTTTTCCCTGCTTTTCCCACTTTTCCCCCTTTTCCCCCGTTTTCTCCTGCTTTCCCCCTTTTTTCCCTGCTTTTCCCCCTTTCCCCCCATTTTCTCCTGCTTTCCCCCTTTTTTCCCTGCTTTCCCCTTTTGTTCCCTGCTTTCCCCCCATTTCCCTGTTTTTCCCCATTTCCCCATGGTTTCCTCCATTCCCTGTGGTGTGTCCCCATTTTCCCCGTGGTTTTTCCCCATTCCCCGTGTTTTTTCCCATTTTTTCCCCCATTTTCCCCCATTTCCCCCCAGGTACCACAACGTGGGCATCCTGGTGCTGTTCCTGCACGACGTCAATGACGTGCAGCTGGAGTTCACCAAGCTCAACGTCTACTTCAAGCACCGCGCCGGCGTCTACCACCGGCTCAACGACGTCGTCTCCAACATCGGCTGCCTGGCCTTCAGC